CAGAAGAACACAGAGATTTAACGAGGTTCGGCAAATATGCCTACGTCCTCGGGAGCAGAGCGGTGAGTTCCTTTCAATAATCAGAAAAGGGTTTACAGAATTCAGGGATATCTCCTGAGGTTACTAACATGCCTATTTATAATCCCAGTAGTAAACCTAGGCACAACATGTAATTACAACATTACTCATGTACCATACCGCGGGACTTTGCCCCGCAACGTAACTTCCCAATTTGGACAGATTCTTCCGCTCCGCCCCGCTCCGCTTCGTTTCAGCATCTGTCCCTATATGGTATATGAGCCATATCATAACAAATCTCCACCTTGGCGAATATCCAGCCCCTTAGGAGAAAAGATACCTGGGAGTTACACCTGCACCAATGTGGGTTGGGCCATCATGCTTCTGCTGCGCCCTCGCTGATCTCAACTCTCTAAATTCCAAGAGACACACCCCTTTAATTCCAAGATACGTCTCTTCATTCCAAGAGACTCCAAATTCTGGCATTATGAGTCATACCTAACAATTCTACACCTTGCGAATATACAGCCCTTAGGAGAAACATCTCCACCTTGCGAATATCCAGCCCCTTAGGAGAAATATCTCCACCTTGCGAACATCCTGCCCCTTAGGAAAAAATCTTCACCTTGCGAATATCTAGCCCCTTAGGAGAAAAATATCACGGAGGTGCTTATGCACAAATGTGGGTTGAAGCAATTTTCCTGTTCGCGCCAGTACCTCGGCTAAAATGCTGTCCGGTGAGCGAAACCCTTCGCGAAATACCTCCGCGAAACCACTGTTTGTGAATAATCATGTCTGCTCGCTCGCCAGCACCCTATCGAACTCCACCCGTCGCAACTCCTCCTGCAACGAATTTGCAAACTCCGCTGGTCGAACATCACCAAACTTATCTGTTTGCAAACGCTCCTGTTCGCGAACTCCACCTCGCATAATGCCGCGAAGGTTCATGAACTGTCGCTCCTCGAAGTCGCGACGCCGCCTCTACCACGAACTCCACGAAGCATAACTCGCCGAACTGCCGCAGCTCTTTATCCGAACTGCTTCGCATCTGTTCGTTCCCGCGAGCCCGTCTGCCTTGCGAACAATCCGCAAAATTTTATATTTTTTTGCGCTGTAGCCAAGATTTTCTTTCTCCAACCAAGGAAATTCAGAAAATACTTCCAAATTTTCTTCTCCGCACGATTCCTTGTTGAGCCAGAAATTGTACTTTAATTATGCCACAAATCTTTTTAAATAATCCCTTAATTAAGATTTCTTAATTAAGTTTACCTTAATGAAGTTTCCAAGAAAAAGAATTTTCTCTTAATTAAGTTTCCCAGAAAAGCAACAAAATCTTTCCAAAAAAAAAAAGAATTGAAATATTCTTTTAATTAAATATTTCATTTAATTAACTGAATTTCAAATCCTTTACTTTCTTAAGCCTCCAGCAAAAGAAATCTCACATCCGCAATCCAACAAAGAAAATTTTAATTAAGTTTCCTTAATTAAATATTTTCTTTAAATCAACTTAATTAAAAAACTACTTTCCTTTAATTAAGTAAAATTCAAAAATTTTCCTTTCTTCAGCGGAAAAAAAATTTATTGATTTCCTTCTTTTTTCTTATCTGCGGCCTTCAAAGGAAACCGATCGAACCAGAAAAGGAAACAAATGAGAAGATTCCTTCCAATTTCTCCAAGAGAACCTTCCTTTCACGAATGCGTCGAAACTTCATTTGCAAAACTTCCTTTCTTTTCAGATCCACACACAGAGGAAAGATTCCTTTCCTCCCTCTGCCCAGCCGCCTTCCGCAAGAACCTTGCCGTCGCCAATCGCGACATCTTGCAATTCACGAATTCTCCTGCTGTACCGAAGCCGCGAACTAGCGAACTCTCATGTTGTACCGCGAACTCGCGAACTCATCTTCTTCTACTGTTGTACCGAAACTTTTTCTTCCCTGCCCTCGAACCTCGCTCTGATACTAATTGTTGAGAAAATTAGGGCGAAGAAAAACAGTAATCGACACAAATCCAGAAGAACACAGAGATTTAACGAGGTTCGACAAAGATGCCTACATCCTCGGGAGCAGAGCAACGACCTCATTTTCAATATTCAGAAAAGAATACATAATACAAGATTCAACTCTCTCAAAGACCTAGGATTATAAACAGGTTTATTTATAATCCTAGAGTAAACTTTACAGTACAATATGTAATTCCCAAATTATCTCTGTACCGTATAGCCCCAACCCACATAACATAACTTCCCGATTTGGACAGATTCTTCCGCTCCGCTCCGCTTCGTTCCAGCATTTGTCCCTAGATGGTATATGAGCCATATCATAACAAATCTCCACCTTGGCAAATATCCAACCCCTTAGGAAAAAAGATACCTGGGAGTTACACCTGCACCAATGTGGGTTGGGCCATCATGCTTCTATTGCGCCTTCGTTGATCTCAACCTACTAAATTCCAAGAGACACACCCCTTTAATTCCAAGAGACGTCTCTTCATTCCAAGAAACTCCAAATTCTGATATTATGAGTCATACCTAACAAACTTTTAGCTAATAAAAGAGTATGAATGCATATATCTACTTTATAGATAACTACATTCAATAATTTATACTTTATCTTTATATGGTCACTGTTTGTATAGGTTAACCTTTGATCCATTTAATATTTAGAAGATATAAATCTTCTTAAATGTGACTCCAAAATGAGTTTAAATTGAGTAAAACAATAACAAACTATTTACGAACCATTTTGAACACAAGTTGAACATGAATAATAAAAAAACTCGAATGAGCCGAATACAAACACGCCTTCAACTCGCGTTAAGGATATTATAGCTATAAAAATTGCATCTTTATGTAGAGTATAATTTTTTAAGGGACATTAACATACATACCACTCAATTCCTATAAATTCACATGTCTAAAACCTACACTTTACTTTTTATATTTATACCGTCTAAATCTTTCATATCACATAAAAAATACGACCATTTTAATTTTTAAGAAGTCAAATACATGCCATTCATAGATAAGATGCATGTATGTAAAAATTAAAGCAAGCATTAGATATGTAATACAATGGGAATTAAAAGGTATGTATCTAAATCTTCCATTTTATAATCGTTTCTTTTCCTCTAAATGGATTCATTTTGCAAAGTCCCCCTTTGCAAATATTAAATGTTTAGAGATAAAAATAACATCAGTAGAAAATTACCAAATGGCCAATTCTGGCGACTCGCGAACATAATAGCATGCCCGACTCATCAACTCATAGTTCCTATAATGAATGTGACCAAGAGAAGAATTCAATGAAATCTATTCATACTTCCCATTACCAAACATCCTGTATATTCTAAGACAAATTGTGAGCGCATATGCAAAGCCACTCTGCTGCCCACTTTCCACATCTTCACTCAAAAATGTCTTCTGCACAAGTAAAAGGATGAGCAGAAATCACCAGTTTATACTCTACAAAATGCACAACACAAGTAATGAAACAAATGTATTGGTGGAATAATAATCAATAAAGAGAAAAATGTCGAAATGATCTCTTGACTCTTTACAGGGGGTTATTTTAATCTCAAGAGTTTCTAAAAGTATCAATTTTGTCCCAAATGAAGACTATGTTAGCTCTCATTGACATAATCTGAGGGCTAACTTGACACTTCTATAAACTCTGAGAGTAAAAGAACTTCATGTAAATAGTCAGTGGACTATTTTGACACTTTACTCGATGGGTGAGCATTTGAATCAAGAGAGTAAAGCCGGGCTATCATCAGTAACGATGCGAGACTGGTCGTGGGATCGCTGCGGCGAATGCTTTGTCATTTGCACATCCCGGCCAAAGTGCGTCCTTGCCTTTGCATATGAAGCTTCCCTTGCTGCAATTGTGCCGGTTATCACATATATAGTTAAGGTGCATGGTTACAAAAGTCAATAATTCCATAGTTCCGTTTGTTTGGTCTCTGAAAGTAGTAAACTTACAGGCAGCAATTTTCTGTGTTCTTAGAATGTTCTGCCTTCGCTTCCACCAGCAGACCAAGCAGACCAGAAATAAGAGGAAGGCGATCAAAGATCCGAGTGCTATGCCGACCTTAGCACCAATTGATAGATGAGGACCACATGTTGGAAGTCCGGGAATGTCACAGAGACCTGCATTCCCTGTAAAACTGCAACTTTCCTTAGGAAAACATGAGGATTATGAAGAAGAGAGGTCAATGGGTTATCAATTTAAGCGGATTAGTAGGTGTAGAGAATGCAAGCAACCTCGTGCACAATTTTAACTTATGGAGGCCATCGACATGCTTAAAGAGTTGAGAACATTTTAAAAACTGCCAACCTTAACAGTATGATTATGGAGTAATGTTTTAAAAGCTTTGTTTGACAAGTGAGCTCGGCAAGTTCCGCCACTAAAAAGCAATACAAAAAGGATGCCACATGATCAAGATGCATCAATTTTTATGCATAAAAAATAAACTCATATAAATCAATGTTAGAAGCCAAATGGCTCACATTTAATCACAATTCGGGTTTAAATTTGACTCAATGTTGACCCGATTCAAATATGTTTGACACGAGCTCTGCCCATTTATTAAATGGATCAAAATAATTAGCTCAAAATGACTCGACGCAAATTCACCTAACCCAAACGTGACTCATCTACCTGTTTATTATATGAATTAAGCATTTTTTTTGGTTCAACATGACCCAGATAACCTAAATATAACCCATTCAACAATGCCCAAATCTGCCTAAACCAAACCTGAAATAAACAAGCCAATTTTAAATTGATTTTGGGTTTATTTAGATCAATTCAAACCTGACCCAAATATTAATCGAACCTATAAGTTTGACCCAAACTCAATATAAATGATAATAGGGTCCACCCCAACACCGAATTTTTTAGTTGAGTGGGAGTCTGGTTGTTGAGTCAGGGAAATGTGGGCCATAAACCTTAAAAATTAGAGTTTGGGTAGTTTTAAATTTTTAATATATAACCATTACTTTCTTTCCCGCTCACTTCACTTAAAAGGCCATTTATTACAATTATCATTATAGTTATTTGTTTTTTCTCCCTCGACCTCAATTACTTCAGCACTTAGCATCATCTCAATCTTTCTCGTCATCTTCAATCTCTTCGTCTTAGTTAACCATTGTAAAGGATAGGATATTAATTAATTTTAAAATAATAACTATATTTATGATTCCAATTTTTGTTATTTAAAAATTGGGTGCATGTGTTAGTCCTATGATGTGTATTATAAGCTTGAGGTCGAGTAGTCCATTTTACACACACAAATAGATATATAGTATGACAGACGCATGTACCTGAATTTTAAGTAACAAAAATTAAAATTATCAATATAGTCATTATTTTAAATTTAATTAATATTCTATCTTTTACATTGATTAACAAAGAGGAAGAGATTGAAGATGACAAGAAAGATGCTAGGTGCTAACGTAATTGAGGCTGAGGGAGGAGAGAAAACAAATAGCTAAAATGATGATTCTAATAAAAGACCTCTCAAGTGAAGTGAGTGGGGAAGACTTTAATTTAATAAATTATGACCTTACACTAATGTTAAAATGAGAGTAAAGGAGACTTTATTCAATGATGTTTGTAGTCTCATATGACTTCTATAATATTTCAACATTTTATGATCTTATTTTGATGTTAATGTGTTAATTAATATTACATATTTTTTATTAATTTAATGGTTTAATTCAAAGACTTGCACCTCAACATCTTGAGGCTTATGTCTTACCTTATAGAAAGGAACTACATACTCGATCACACAATTTCGAACCTTGCTTTCAAAAAAATAATACCTCGTGTTTACACTTTATTTGGAGTGATTTTCTTCTTCATCCAAATGATACGTAGATTTAGTATTATAACACACTGAAAGAAATATGAGACGAGTTGCTTTAGTACCACTCTTTCATTATTGATCTAACTATTTAAAATAAAATAAATTGAAAATTCCTTATTGCTAAATTTATCTTTGACTTGCATCCATATCAGTAATGTATACAATCTAATTTAATGGAAGACTCCAAGATCCTCAACATTAAGGCCACTCTCTCCCTGGTTTCTGTGAGGCATCATTAGTGTTCGCCACTCAACCTTCTAAGCTTTACTAATCAGCCATGGTTATTCTATGAGTGGTCAAGGACATCGAATAATGATGGCTTGACTAGTGGCGTTTGTAGATGTATATTAATGCTTTTTTGCCTTGCCCCAATTATTAAATTAATCATCCTCCTGAACGTTGCTGGAAGAAATTCAATTGTCCTTCAACTACTCAGCATGCTTCCACAACTAGTCCCACCATACCACTCTTTAAGCTTCCCCGATCTACTATTATCTCTCAAAAAGACTAATTGTTTGCTATGACGAACTTAAACATCTCTCTTAATATCTCGTGATTTCTCTTTCTTTGGTCCACTGCAGTTGTCTCTATTAGTAGGTCCTTGTTCTAGATTCAAGTGTCTTTTATCTTCATGTAGGTAATCACCATTTATTTCAATCTATCCACATGAATTACCTACATCTATTATTTTTCTTCGTAGTTCCCTCGCTTCAATTTGAACCTCTCTCTCTCTCTCTCTCACTTATATAGATGTTTTACATGTCCTAAAATTTCTTGTAAGCCTATTATATATTTACTACCTCATACAGACTCATAATTGTGATATAAAACTTTATCTCTCATCATGTCTTTCAAGCTCTCAACTCAAGAGAGACAATTAGCGGAGGAGTAGAAGGTGAAGTCTATTACAAGGCAATGTATAGTCACTCCACCCACTATTCTATTATAACTCCATTAGAATAATAATGTAAACTAGGCAACACTCCTAACGAACAAATTTTCAAAGTTGGAATTTATTTCGTCATATTTATCCAAGTGTTTTGTTTTTGAGAAAAGTAAACACCATTGCTTATTCCTTCTTTATTTGCAACTACTTGAACTCTTCTTTTGAGGTGTTCTACAACACTATTGTGCATTCCTTCTTTATTGTACAACTTTCAAATGTTTACTCTGGATGATCTCAAACTTCCTCAAAATCAACAACTTGAATCAAATTATTTGATTCAATAGAGCAACCACCTATTGGTGAGCTCTTTGATCTATATATTTAACAATTGCCCTATGAAATAATAAAAGCCACCATATTACTCATCCCCTAGATCCTTGAACGTTGTTTAATCATTTATCATCTTTGCTTCGTGCATTTGCCTTATCTCTATCATTTTGTATTTATTCCTAGGACATATTTTAAATGCGGGCTCTGAAATTCTGACCTCTCCCAGGTTCTCTATATTTTGTTTGTTTATAGTGAGAGAATTGATGGTCAAATTTTCAGAAGGCAGATGAATAGTAGATAACACATTACTTAGAGATTTTGTCCTAATTTTGGGAGGACTTTTTGATTAAAGGTTCGAGGTTTCTTATAGGCACAAACCCCTATGTCAATTACCCCTCTCGATAAAGGAAGAGCACCTTCGATTAAGACTAGTCATTTAAAACTAAATACTGAGTATATAATAACAGTAGACATGCAATTTAAGTTGTAAAATTTATTACTTTGAGCTTAAAACGGAAGATGAGAGAGATGATGATGAACCCGATCAAGATCCCACGGTTCTATCCTTTTGGGTCATTGTTGTCTCTGATTTAATTAGTCCGATGAAGTAGTCGACCCACCCTGACTGAAAGATCTTAGTTAGCAACCATGAGTTGTGTCACCCAAGGAACCCTTACAAATCTAGGGTAGATATTTTTTTAAAATAAAAAATTTAAGTCGACTTTAGCTGACAGAAGGCTTTGTGTCAATCAATTGTACTATTATGGTTCACAACTCAAAGGATAGAAAGTGGTTGGAGAACATACAGGTTACGATCACAACCGTAATATAATTGTGTCATTTGACGGCAACCACCTAGTCATAGGGCTCTAATAATAACTGTTATTTTGTGGTGTCATTTGGTGTCAAAACCACACAAAAAAAAGACTCGGGCTACGTCCTTAATGAAGTGAAATTACTTTAAGTGTGAATATAATGATGCACTCGATGTAACATTAACTCTTTGTGAGCTGAAATTAATAAAAAATTTATCACCCTCGACAAACTGTTGCAGAAGATAAATATGAGTTTGCTTTAAGTTTTTAAGTGATTAATTTTACTTGAATATTTTGGTTAGTTATTTTAAAAACTTTGATTTTAGAAATTGACCCATATGGTTAAATTCACAATTAACACGGTCATCATCGAGGAAAGTCATTTGAAATTCATCAATTTTGATTTCTTTTAGAAATTAGTCCTACTAATTCTAGTTCTAATAAGAAGGATTGGACTAGGTGATTTGGATTTGCAAATTCATATATTTATGATTTAGACATTATTATTAAGTTTACTAAACTTGTCAACTCCAGTCTTTGTAAGGAGACTGATCAGAATAGTAGAGTGAAACTTATAATCCTATTCTATAGACAAAGCGACTTGATTGAATGAATTACGTGAGTAAACGTTTGCTCTTGACCCGCGCAACATTTTCAAACCTAATATGTAAGCATTCAATATATTGGTTGAGACACATGTGGGTGTTTAATTTCATATATTTGGTTATTTTAGACAACAATGCATGCCTTAAGGCAATTTATATGATTTTAAACCATAAATTAAATCAAAGATTGATTTAAATGAGATCTATAAAACTTGAAGATACATAAATTTACCTCATTTGAATATAAACATTGATACATATAGATGTTCACTTTAATCTTTTGACAACAACCTTTCTTTCGCTTAAAAGTTTGAATTTTGAATCTGATGGCGTAGAGACATATAAACTCTTTTTTGAGAATTAAAAAAATGACATTTATGTTTTAAGCTCAGCCCCAATTTATTATATTTTATATTTAATTCAATTTATCAGCCCTTAAGCTTCGACCCTCAATCAAGCTTAACCCCAATTTATTATGTTTCACATTCAAGTCAAGTTTAGCCCTCAATTTATATTTCCAAATAGATCACATAAAGATTCATTTACAACAAAACATTTTTATTTGATCATCTTCAAATATGATCAAATTTGAAGTTAAAAAAATCCAATACCATTAATTCGTGGGTTATTAAATTAATCACAATCATTTATATGTCCAATATAAATAATTTTATTATCTTGAAATGACTTGATTAATAATTTGAATGATTATTTTAACTTTTAATTAGCAATTCATGTTTTCATTTATTTCTTTTTATATCACTTCAAATTCCAAATAATTCATTTTTTAAGAACATTTGCAAGTTCAAATATTTCACATTTAAGTTATTTACAAATTCAAAGATTTTTAAGTCATTTACAAGTCCAGATCACCCTAAATTTTGGCAGCCTCCCGACATCAAACCAAGTTAAGGGGTACAAGAGAATGAAAACCTTCCTGTCTTAAAAGACTAACCGATCAGTGTTGTGAGACATTGCGATAGGGGAATAAAAACATAATATTTAACCTACGATCTTAAAAGACGCTATAGGCCTTCAATCATATATGCAAAAAGGGTTAAGTCATAAGCAAGCTTTTCCCGAGTGGTGCTTTACATTTCACAAATAGTACTTAATTCCCAAGGAAGGTACTCACTTTTCGCAAGACAGGTATTTTAAAAGCCCTGAGTTTATAAAAAGTTTCCAAATGAGTCTACAATTATGTCGAAAGTTCTTAATTCTGAATGACGGGTACTTGAATTTTCTCGAATGAATACCTTAAAAATTGCCCCATTGCCCCAATTTTATATCTTTTTGGGCAAAGCGATGATATTGACGACAGCAATCTGGCATTACTTTCATTAAGAAATTATATTATTTAATGGAATATCCCCACAGGATAGCCATATCTCAGTCTCCAGATTTCTCAGGAATATATGTAATGCCAAACTCGCTTGGCTGAACAGTATATTTCCCAATAAAAGTCCCGTTCCCTTTAGATGTCACTGCATGCACAAATCCTGTAGTCCCCATCAAAATGTTACTTGGCCCAGAAACTGGGCCGCGATATGTCCCCATAAAAACTTCTCAAAGGAAGTAAAATAGGCCAAATCATGATGTTAGAATTTCTACTGCGACTTACTTCATAAAGTTGTTCCGCCTCAATTTGAGTGCATCCTCCAAGAAACTGTGAAGCGTGACAATCTAACATTAACAGAACTAATTGAACTGGATCCATTAGCAAAACTGTTTAAATCATAGCAATAACCTACAAAAACTGTGTAAGGCAAACTGTAGATGCTTTCGTTCAACTTGGCATTAAAAATGGTTATCATAAAATCACCAGGTTCTAAAACAACAAAAGAAACCAATAAAATTCCATATTCCACCACTGGAACTGACAATCACGGTGTACTTAGAGCATCAAATGGATAGAAACATGGTACAAGGTTCTCAAATCGATCTTTCTGGTGTACTAAAATCGGAAATGGAAGAGGAGAACCACTTAAAAGTTTGATTGTCACCATAAACGTGTAAACAGAGCCTTCCGGCAATGGTGGGAGTAAACTCAATGATAAAAAAAAAATCCAAATTTGATTCAAGCAATAGAAACGAAATTGAAAGTCTCCGTTTCAGATCAGTTTGAATAAGATGTAGACAACGTAAAATAATCTTTTGTTTGCATATCCATTAAAGAGACATTATTTCCAAAAACATCTTTAGAATATATCAGAAAATAAGTTTTTGTACCAACAATAGAGTCATCGAAAAAAAATCAATCCAAGAAGGCAGACAAGCAGATGGGTACATTGGTCCAGCAGTAACACTAAAATAAAGTGATGAATCAGCGATTCCAGAAAAGTCTTCCACAACAAACACAGAAAAGTTCCCAACTTGGATGGCTGCAATAGAAATATTCAACAAGATAGGATCCCCGTGAATATTAAAGTGAAGACAGCAGAAATATATGAACTATTTCCTTTCTTCCCACCCACAGAAACTGAAAATTGTGCTGAGGTTACCATTTAAAGAATTGTTCGAAAGCTGAATCTTAATAGTTGCCGAATCACCAGCTTGATAAGTGGTTTTAACATCCAGTCAACTGACAGCAAAGCAAGGATTAGGAATTTTAACTCCTAAACCTCTCTGAGATGTAGTGTAATACAACATAACTTTATCAAATGTCTCATTGTGCCTCAATTTCTGCTTAACTTCCGGATCTATTAAACCCTTTGCAATGCTTCTCCTAGGAGCGGAGAGAAGGGAGATTGGACTTTCAAAGGTGCTCTTCTTCGAACACTGCCATACCATCATTGCCTTCAAAGTTAGTTTGCCGCTGTCTGTTAAAATTTCAGATAGGAAGAACGGTGGAAAGTCGAGACTGTCTGCTTCAGTTTTGAAGGAGGTCATCGCATGCTGTGATCCCTTCGTTGCATTCCTCTCTTGCCCTAGTGGTGACTGTATTGCCCAAACAGGGAAAAATGATGAAATTTTAAGTAGTGTAGTGGAGAGAGAAAATGGGGAGTTCGAAATGGCGAACCCGTGAAGAGAAGGATTCCTTCATGAGTTATCCTGGAAAAGGGAGCGAGCAACTTATAGAAAACCTAGAGAGGGAGTAGTTACGGGTTTTAATTTTATTTATTTTTAATATTTTTTTTAACAGTCAACATTAAAGTGCCACATATTCCTCTACAGAAATATACTATGAATGTTGATATGAGTGCTTTACTCATTTATCATACATGGTAATTGATAGTTTCCCCTTGTAAAGATTAAATCAATTATATGTTCATGGGTGATAACAATCAAATTATATCCCAATACTTTGATTGATCGAAACAAAACTCAGTTAGTTCCCAAAGGGTTTACACAAATCTATGAGATAGACAATTTTGACACTTCTATGGTTGCCAAACTTGACCACATATGAATTCTCCAATCGGACATCAATAAAAGATGGCATATGCTACAACTACATGAGAGTAACGCATTTCTCTATAATTATATGAATTAGAAATTTGTACTCCTAGATATGTTGCTTGAAGGGAGAATCATGCGTGTAGACTCTGAAAGACTACTTATGGACTTAAATAAAGCTTATGGGTATGGTTTTAAAAATGGCCTTCACAATAGCTCTACATATCACCCTACCATTGTCAGGAATGCACCATCAAGCTCAATCATGTTGACTGTGTGTGTGTTGATCATATCTTATTAAGAGAGATCAAAAGAGAAACTTCAAGATAGAGCTATTTGCAAAGAAATTTTCTCACTAAAGAACTAGGGCAACCAAAATATTTTGAAAAGGTTGTTGCCTATAAGGAGTATCTATCTTATAAAAAATATACTATCGATTTTCTTGAAGAAATCGATCTTCTAGCCTGCAAATCTATGAATACCTCAATGAAGATACAACCGCTTAGTATAATGAGAACTCCTCAATCATGTCTAGAAATCGAAGGTTAACTGGAAATTGTTTAATAAGCTTGCTACCCGGGTTAACAATTCATTCATCATTGAAGTTTTAGTCAGTACAAGTAAATTTCAAAGCAAAATCACATATCCTAAAGTATATAAAAAGTCTCCTAAAAAGATCTAAGGCAAAGAACTTGAATGTAAAACCATCTCAAATGTTGAATATGTCAGCTCAATTGAAGAAAGAAAGTCAACCTCTAGAAATTGTATCTTTGTAAGAGCACCAGAAAAAAAGTATGAAATAAATTATTATGGTATGATTCAGTATTGAGAACGAATAAAGAGCTACGGCCCATGCTATATATGAAATCTATGAGTAAATAATCTTCTTAGAGAATTTGATTTTCCAGTTACACTACCTATGATTTCTTCCTATGAAAATCTTGTAAAAATCTACGTTGCCAACAACACCCTATTCCATGAGAAAATCAAATATATTGAGGTAAATTATCATTTCATTTAAGATACCGTGCTTTCAAAGAAGTTTATCACTTTTCAAATCTCTAATTTAATACAAGTAGCTGGTATTTTTATTAGAGCTCCGATTCTTCCACGTTTTTCTCATTTATATAACAAAATGGAACTAACTGATATATACATGCTTCTATGTGTGAGGGAGGGTTAGCAAAGGATAATATTAAAATAGGAAATTCTCTATATTTGGAGAGTGGACTATATCATTTGGATTTACACTAAAACATAATATTAATTCCATTATCATAACAAAGGGGATCAATAATGAATAAGATACAAAATTTATCCTCTAAATTTACTGGTACTATAAAAGCAAGGACTTGCTATTCTATCTATATAAAACTAGGTACTATAGAATGGAAAAGTGAATTCGGAAAGATTCCCCTTCAGTGCATTGCTGATTGTAGCATACAAAACAAAATAGGTCGGATTGATCAGTGCGCATATGAAAAAAACGCAAAAGGAGTTCCTGAGAACTTCCCCATTATAAGGTATGGGGAGAAATTATATTTGCAACTAGAGAATATTTCAACAATAAAGATTCACAGCCTCTTATGGCACAAGAGGTTGCCTCAATAGTAAGTTAATATTTAGAAAAGGAATAAAGTATAAAAATAGTCCTCCGTTATTTACATGTGATCATTTTAGTCACATAGCTTATAAAATATCAAATTAGTTCCAAAATTTTTTAATGGGGGCTGAAATAGGCCTTCTTGTGGACTATTTCAACCCATATTAGAAGAGCCTATGAACTAATTGACACTTTTATAGATTTTAGGATAAAATGGGCCCCCTGCAAAGACTGAGGGGATCATTTTGACACTTTTCTCTTTAGAAAAGTGTCATAAAATTGTGATTCTCTTGAGAGGTCCTTCAGGATTGTGAAGGTGAAGATCATTTGTGAAGATTCAAAATCTCAAGAACAATGGGCACAAGACCAAGTACCCTTTACTAAAGTTATTGGATCGATTGTGTAAACTATTGCTTTTCTACTAGTTGTATCTGTTGTTTCTTAAGCCTTCGGGCATTACGTCCAGTTTAGACTCATGCCAGAGTTTCTCTCAATCACAAGTTTTGTCGACAAGAGGATAACTTACTTGAAGCTGGCTCCATGGAGAGGCCTTCCCCCAAGGGTGGCTGGAACTCTTCCTGATAGCAAGTTTCCGTTGAGATTCCTACAAGCAAAATCAATATATTTACAACTTCTAATTGCCTCAGCATATCTATGATCCAATGAAAAAGAGAATGACGGGAAAAAGTTATCTTACAGTATCCGCAATAATTTCAGCCGGCCAAGGCTTTCAGGAATTGAACCATTTAACTGGTTGTATGAAAGGTCCCTACAAAAAAATTTAAAAGTAAAAAAATCAATAAAACTCTAGTGAATTATAGTGCCCGCGTGTAGTTGGGACAAGACTGGGTTAACAATTTTATTCATTCAGTTATTTTAAAGGATTCATCCTAACAATTTAAATACAGCCAAATAGCTCACGAAATAAGAGAACCAAGAGTAGGTATGCCTCTTCTGCAAATATGAAGAAATGGAAACAATAAAAACACTCAGCCCCGTGCTTAGTTTCTTCAAATCTAAATATGAATTCCAATTCAATAAATCATATAACAATTATTTACAACATCATATCATTCAACCCTTTCTTTAAATTTTCATGCTTTCGCAGGATGGATCTATCATTGATACACTTTACAAAACGCTTGCCATTTAGCAGACTGTTCAGTTACTTCTTGACTGATAATTTCATTTTAAATTCTCCAAAATTTCCTCAATTGCTTTACTGAGCCTTCTTCTAGTTTGAAAAAAATTATCATAAGTATTTTTATAAAGGATCAAATGAAATCAGAACGTGCAAAGTTTCTTGGAAAAAATATCAACCAGCTGTTTTTCAATGGCAAATATGAGTGATGAACTTCTTTGATAGAACAACATCCTTGATAAAAACACAATCAACTTTGAAATTTTAAGTTAGTTCATAAAAGAGTGGATTGCTAGTAATATAGATGATAGCTTGATAATCAAAGTTTAACATTATAGGTTATGTAGCAAAAGAATCAAATTCCTCAAAAAATACTTGTATAGATATTATTCACAAATGGAGTGAGACATGGCCCTATATCCTACTTCAACACCATACCTAGTCACAACAAATTGTTTCATACGGACTATGAATTACAAAATTTCCACCAACAAAGATAATATATCGAGAACTTGACTTCCTATCTTCAACGAATGTAACATAATTAGCATGTTTATATGCTTCAACTCTTACATGACCATTTTTATGAACTAATCATTTCCCAAGAGATTTATTAATATATTTAAAATTTTTAGGATAGCCACTCAATGGTTCTTATTTGAATTTTGCATATGAAGAATAAATACACCTAAAAAAAGAATATATCACATCTTGTGACAATCATTTAAATAAATTTATTGACCAAGTGATCCTAGCGAGAAACATCTAAAAGATTTCCTTATTCACAAAAGTTCGTAGAACATCCATGGGTGAGTCAGCAAGCCTACACCTAAAAGGCATATTTCTTCAACAAGGTTTGTAGCATATTTTCTTTGAGAGAAAAGGAGATCCCTACTTTAACATAAGTCAAAGCTACAAAATACTTAGGATGCCACAAATCTTTGGTTACAAACATTTTTTTTTTTGGAAAATAACGTTTTATTTCAACAATGCCTAAAGTTTCACATTATGTGATTTCTGATTTGTGTTCTAGGGTTAGAGAGAGCTTTGAAGGGATTTTCCTCCTATGCTTGTAAGTGTTTTAAGCTTGTTCTAAGTCAATCTAGGGGTGTGAGTTGTGTTGTTTTGTAAGTGTTGTTGTGTAAAGAGTTGCAGGAGAAGAGCAAGGGCTTGGGTGGAGCATTCTCAAGGTAAATTGAGGGAGAGAGATAAGTATATTTGTGATTTGGAATTGTAGTTTTTCGAAACAAATTTGTATGTTGAATCCCCTTGTTTCAATGCACTCTGGTGTTGTTTTATCCATGCTTTCTGAATAAATTTCCTTGTTTTTACTTGTGGTGATGTAGTAGATGTGTAGGAATGTGGATAGCATGCTGAAATAGTTTTTATTCTATAATTGTGATGATTTCCTTTTGCACAAAGTTTAATTTTCAACATGGTCAATTGATATGTTAAAATACGTTGTAAACCTGTAAGGACTCAGAAGAGCTACGATATGAACAATTAGGAAAATAATATTGAACTATAGGGTATGAATCAAAGTACACTATAGAGAGATACAGATAAATAGAAAGATAAACTTCATTGGATTTTAAGTGGGACTTAAGAAATTAAGGTCACTTTAACCAAGCTTCTTTACAAGCTCGGAAGAGGGTAAAGAATATATATGCATCTATTTGTCACAAAACTTTACATTTTTTCCGCATTTCTTCCACATTTACACTATATTGTTATCACTGTAAGGAAAAGAAACCTAAGCACTTGACAAAACCAATTCACATAGCGCAGTTAAAAATTTTGTAGGTGTAACTTTAGATAATTGCAGTAGGTTTGTTAGCAAAACTTAAGTATTTCAAAATTCCAAATTAAGAAGACTTGTACATTTTCCTACTTTGGCTTTCCATTGTTTCCTGTGAGATCAACATTCAAGACTCTTTAGAGCCTTATATTACGAAAAACGATACGTATACTTGCGTTAGCAACCACAGTATTTAGGATAAAATCTGAATATTAAAAATCTAAAAGAGTAACTTGGACAGTTTAAGTTTTTCAACACTGTATCAAGAGATTGAATTATTGTGTTAGTTGTTGGGGTGCTATCAAGCATAATCACACGCATCACACATCAATTCAAAAGGCAAAGTCCAATGAGGTGCTACAATCACAAGTGCGGTGACTAATTTAGATCTTAGTGTCTCAAATGCTGTCAGACGAGCTCATCAAAATCAAAAAGCACATCATTTTTCAATAAATGACATAAGCGCTTGGTGATCTTAAAAAAGACTTTTATGTACCGACAATGGAACCTGAGGAACCTGACATGCCCAAAAAAGCTCCTAATCCCTTTGGCAGACGTGGGTGGTGAAATTTTTTCAATCACCTGAATATTGGCTGGATCCACCTCCATCCCCTTTTCAAAAAACTTATATCCCAACACTATTATTTCTATAACCATAAACTAATATTTCTCTGAATTCAAAACTAGATTGGCCTCCTCACACCTCTGTAAGGCTTGAGCAAGATGTTTTAAGCATAGGTCATAAGAGTCACTGAACACAGAGAAGTCCTCCATGAAGATTTCAATCTCTATCTCAATTAAATCAGAAAAGATGGCATGCAGTGCTGAAAAGTTGCAGGTGCATTGTATAGTTGAAAAGACATCCTCCTGAAAGCAAAGGTTCCATAGGGGCCCGTAAAGTTGGTCTTGTCTTGGTCTTCTGGGGCTATGGGAATCTGATGGTACTCTGAATAACCATCTAGGAAGCGATAAAAAGGGTATCTTGCTAATCTAACCAGCATCTGGGCTAGAAATGACAAGGGAAAGTGATCATTCCTTGTGGCAAAATTTAGCTTCTTATAGTCTATACAAATCCTCCATCTGGTGATAATCCTACTAGGTACCAACTCATTCCTCCCATTTTCTACGACTGTCACTCCCTCTTTCTTTGGCACACGATGAATAGAGCTTACCCAAGCACTATCTGAGATGGGGTAGATAATGTCAGCATCAAGCCATTTTAGAATTTTTCTTTTCACCGCCTCTTTCATGACAGAGTTAAGTCTCCTTTGGAGGTTATCCTTAGGTTCATGTCGCTGTTATCCTTAGGTTCATGTCGCTCCTCAATCAAGATCTTATGCATGCAAAGGAATGGGCTTACACCTTTAATGTCAGCTATGGTCTACCCAAAGGCTTTTCTAAAAGTCCTAAGAACCCTCATTAATTTCCCCTCTTGCTCCTCACTCAAATTTGTCGAAATAATGACCGGCAATATTGATGGTTCTCATAGGTAAGCATACTTGAGATGGCTGGGTAGGGTCTTCAATTCCAACTCAGGGGCGGTCTTAATGGATGGTGGTATTCAAGAGTTCGAATCTCTCCAGCCGATTCTTCGCTATGTATTTGCTCCTCATCCACAATCTATCAGGCTCTGCTTGGTTTTCTTCTGAATTATCCATGAACTATCCATTTACAACTTGATCTACTATGTCAATCTTATGGCAGTGCTCTTCATTGGAATCATGAGGAAACCTTATTGACTATAGGAATATCAAAGGTCGTTTCTTGATCATTTACTCTTATAGTCAATTTCCCTTCTTAGACATCAATCATGGCCTGACCTGTAGCTAGAAAGGGTCGGCCGACTATCAAGGATATTTTCTTATTCTCTTCCACATCGAGCACCACAAAGTCTGCAGGGAATATGAACTTGTCCGCCTTCACTAAGACATTTTCAACAATTCCCGTAGGATAGTCTAAGGATCAGTCTACCAATTGTAAAGTCAAAATAGTCGCCTGAACCTTTCCTAGCTCAAGTCTTTTAAAGATGGATAGTGGCATCAGGTTAGCACTAGCTCCCAAGTCACAAAGGGCTCTTCATACAATTTTTTCTCCTATGGCACAATGAATGGTAAAGCTCAATGAGTCCATCTTTTTGGGTAACTTCTTTCGTAGAATGACCCAACATTCCTCAGTGGGGCCGTCTCAAAGTGTTCTAGACTTCTTTTCCTAGTCAAGTTATCTTTCATGAACTTGTCATAACCAGACATTTGTTCAAGTGCTTCAACAAAAGGTATGTTAATGGTCAACTGTTTGAACACCTCTTAAAACCTCGATAATTGTTTGTCCACTTTTTGTTTTTTTAATCTTTAGGAAAAAGATGGCGGTAGTCTTTCTTCAGGGTCAATCCTAATGGGTGAGAATAGCCTAGCCACTTCCTTTTCCTTCATTTCCAGTTCATCTCCTACGACCGTGCCTACATCAATGGGATCTTCTTTCCTAGGCGTAACTTTTAATTCTTTCCCACTTCTTAATTTGACAGTTTGAACTTGCTCCATCCCTTTCTCCCTGGGATTTATTTATCTTAGTATTGCTAGGCAATGCTCATAAGGGTTTATTATTCACTGAACTCGTCTGTTGTCCTAGTTGAGTTTCTAAATTCTTTATGGCTAAGGCCTGGGACTGTATTTGATTCCCCATTTGCATAATTAACTCCTCAATAGGTGACTTCTTTGGGATAGGTTGGGTGTTAGCTTGACATCCTGGTGGGTATTGTTGTTTTTAGGGTTGATTCCCTTGCTTATTTCCATGATAAGGTCAATTATTGAATTGTGATTCTGGCCCCATTGTTGGTGGTTATTGTTCCAAGAAAAGTTTGGGTGGTTTCTCCGGCCTAGGTTGTCAGTCTGTACATAATAATTATTATCATGATTTCCTATGGCGTTCACAGATTCTAAGTCCAACATGCTAGGATATACAACTAGCCTCAAATCCCGATCCATCATTGGGTGGAAATTCTTGCATGGGATTCATCCCTAGATTATCTAGCTTCTTAGAGATAACAACTACTTGGGTTGCTAAGATTGCTAACATGTCAGATTCATCGACGATTCATCGACGCTTGCTACATTATAAGGGGTTACTCTTTTAGCTACCCATTGAAAATTGTTAGTAGTTATTTCCTCGATCAATTGGTATACTCATCAAAAGGTTTAGACATTAAAGAATCTCCTACAACGGTATCAATGATAAACCTCAAAGATCGTACTAATCCGTTATAGAATGTTTGAATGATTAACCAGTCAGGTAGGGCATGAAATGGACACCTCCTAAGTAAGTCTTTGAATCTCTCCCAGGCTTCATGAATTGATAATATATCAATTTGATTGAATGGGGTGATCTCATTCCTAAATTTTACAACTTTGGATGGAGGGGAGTAATTAGCAAGAAACTTCTGGGCTAAGTCATTCCAGGTCATAATTGAGACTGAGGTAAGGGTATTAAGCCATACCTTAACTTTATCCCTCAGGGAAAACAAAAAAAGCCTCAGTCTAACGACATCGTTGGGTACACCGTTGCACCGGAAGGTGACACACAATTCAAGAAAATTAGCAAGCAGAATGCTGGGATCTTCAATGGCAAGTCCCCCAAACTGGTTGTTTTGAACCATAAAAATTGTGTGCTATGTATATAAATGCCCTTAAATAGAAATGAGGATAATCTAAAAACAAGTTAATTACTAAAGAAAAAAATATAAAGAATATAATGGAAAAGAAAAAACTCAAAAATGGCATGCACTTACAATGTCTGCAATCCAGCAATGGTGCCAATAGAGAATGGAATGCTTCCTTGGATGCTGTTTCCACTCAAGTTTCTATCAGAAAGTAACAGAATAAAGAAAACAAAGCTTAGAAACAAGTTTTTACATGCCTGAGACAAAACACGCAACTTTGATGTTGATGCAAGTCTGCAGATATGAAGCCTGGGTATGATAAGGTATAAAAAGAACTATACAGAAAATCTTAAAAAAAGAAAAAAGATATTGATACCAACAACATGAAAAAACGATAGGCATGCCTATCTGTAAATAATAGGGGCATTTATATTAACATATTTAACGCCTAGGCATTTATATTTATAGGCATACCACTCAAATCTTTATCAGCACATAAAAAATACCATCATCACAATTTTTTAAAAGTGATATACACCTTCTCATGCATAGTTTGATGATACCAAATGTTCTAAGTGTAAATATGAAATTTTACGCATTAGATATGTACATACATTAGAATTGTGTGGTATGCATGTAACTTTCCCTAATCAATATAAAGGCATGGACGGTCAAAGAAACTAACAATTCTCCTCGCATCAACCCCATTACATACTCTTCAAATTTTCGATCACAACATTGATTGTGATTTATAAGATAAGAAATATATGTATATAAAGTTAAATTAATTTTCATAATGAAAAAACAATTTATCAAGCATATGAAAAATAGAAGGATAATCAAACAATATTTAGATCACTTCTAAAAGTTTAGCATTATCCGCAGGTTCACCAACCAAAATTGTATATTATCTGAAAAATATCAGCATAGAACTATGTTCCACTGAAAAAATTATGATGCATTCAATTGATGATTAAACTATCTTAAAAATACTTGAAAACACTCAAAACACTTTTTCTGAGGATGCTAACAAGAATAGATAATTTTAATAATGCATTTAAAGATCATGGTTGTGGGCTCAAAAAATTCTGATGTCCCAAGGCTCTCTACATTGCTTGTATTGTTGAGAGAATTTTGGAGGGTCACATTTTCAGAAAATAGATGAGATAGTAAATAAGACACTAACCAGAGATTTCACCCTCATTTTGCGAGGAGTTTATGATTTAGGATTTGAGGTTCTCGAAAGGCGCAAGCCCCTATGGTTAATTACCCTTCCCGATGATGTGATAGCACTTTTGATTAAAGCTAGTGATTTAATATTGAACATTTAGCATATAGTAGCAACAAATTTTTAAGTCATAAATTTATCAATTAGAGCTTAAAGCAGATGGTAGAAAGTGATGACGAACCTAATCAAAATCTCATGTTCCCGTCGTCTCGGATCATCTTGGTCTCTGATCTACTTAGTCGGAGGAGGAGGTAGTCAACCCAACCTGACTGAAAGATCCTTGTCAGAAACCATGTGTTGCATCGTCCAAGAGAACCTTGTAAATCTGGGGTGGATATTTGTATAAGAGAATAAATTTAAGTCGTTATTAGTTAATAAAAGGTTTTATGCTAATCAATTGTATCATTATGGTTCACAACTCAAATGGTAGAAAAATCGTTGGGGAATATATAGGTTGTGGTCGTGATGTAATATAATAGTGTCATTTGGTGACAACAACCCGATCAGAGGGTTTTGGCATTAACTGGTACATTGTGGTATCATTTGGCGACAAGATCATATGGACACAGGATTCATGAAGCATCCTTATCAAGGTGTAATTAGTTTGATTATGAATATAGAGATACGCTTGATGTGGCATTCACTTTTTGTAAGATGAAATCAAAAGTTTCACCCTCGACAAACTGTTGTGGTGGGTAGATGAGAGTTTGCCTCAAGTCTTTTAAGTGATTTATTTTAACTTGAGTATTGACTTGAAAATTTAGATTGAATATCAGTTTGAAATTAACCCCTATAGTTGAGATTTTTAATTAGCACAACTATCATCAAGGATTTAATTGTTTGTTTTGAACCCTGTGAACTTTACATCGTACTTCATCACACTTGTAAAGGACCAGATAACATTGTCATATAATTAAACATGAACATTGTCAACTTTATCATGCGTAAAGAAGATTGGGTATATATACATATATACTATGTGAACTTATTCAAATAGCCATCAAAATTTAATTTTGAAAATATACCCATTCAGTTGAAACTTTCTATTGTTTTGGCTATCATCAAGGAAAATTCATATGGATTTCATCAATTTTGATGTTTTTAGAAATTATTCTTGTGGACTTAGTCCCAACAAAGAGAATTGCACTAGTGATTTGAACATAAATTCCTATATTTATGATTTGAAAAATGTTATTAAATTTACAAGACTCGTCGTCAACTTCATTTCTTATGAGGAGGATCGTACTAGTTGAGTGAGACTTACAACCCTGAGAGGCGCGATTGATTGAATTTTCAAAGTATGAATTATGTGAGTACTACGTGCAACATTGCCAAGCTATTTGTTAAAACATTTAGAATTGTAGGATCCAGTGGTGGACTTTTAAATTTTGAAATCTCCAGATTTGAATTATTTTTGAACCCTAGGAGCCTAAGTTTGAAAACCCAAATTTTAAATATTTTTAATACCCTAGAGATCTAAACTTTAAAGCTCAAATTTTTAAGTAGTTTAAGGAACATAAAATTTAAAAATCTTAAATTTATATTATTTTTAAAAATCCTAATAGCCTATATTTTAAAGCACCAAATTTCCAAATATTTTAAAACTTAAATGATCAATATTATTTTTTAATTATTTTATAAGTTTGAAAGTCCAAAGTTTCAAGTTATTTACAAATCCAAATCGCATAAAAATTTATCAGCCTCGCGGTGTCCAGCCCCGTCAGGGGACACAAGAGAATGCCAACATTTTCAGCTATGTTAAAAAGACTTGTTAATTAGCGCCTTGAAACAGTGCGGCTGGGGAGCAAAAATAAAATATTTAACCCACAATCTTAAAAGACGCAATAAGCCTTCAATGTACCCATAAAAAAAAATCAAATCACGAGCAAATATTTCTTCAAGCGGTATTTTACATTCCTCGAACTATATTTAATTCTCAAGGGAGGGTACTCAAATCAGACAAGATAAATTTTATTGCAAAATTTAAGAAAGAGTACAATGATGAATTCTCACAACAATAACACAAAAACGGTAAACGACATAAAACATATACAATGATCAAAATAACACATAAATGATAAAAGAAATAACAAAGCATGAAACAGAAAACAAAACTGTAAGGTGGCGAAACCGGCGATGCAGCAAGGGGTGGAGGTTGGGGGGGCGCTAGGTGGACTTGGTGGTTGCTAGGGGGACACAACAGTGATGGATGTGTGAAGGAGAGGATCCAGAGAGGTAGGCGGCCTACTAGAGAAGTCGACAGGGAGCTTGGCGTGTGGGAAGGTGCAGTCAAAAGTGGTGGAGGTCATTGGAGGGACCTGGAAGGCTAACAACCGGCTAGTGGACGCAGGGAGGAGTATCAGGACAGCGGTTGGGGTGGTGGAACGGTGAAACTTGCAGCGGGGAGGTGCCCGACAGGCGAAAGGATGGAAAAGCAGCGCTGAAAGGATGTTGGTGGCAAGGTAGGGTGGGGTAGTCACCACCTCAGACGGGGTACAACCGAAGCATTATCCACCGTCAGATACAGCTCTTGAAAGAGAGAATGCCTTGGAGGCAAACCTGAAGCCTGAAATCACAAAGAAAATACACTACTTATACCTGAGAAAAAATGTGCATAAATAGGGAAGACAGGAGGCAACCTAAGAAGGGAGGACAAAAAATTGAAGGGATTTGAAGAGACGAGCAAGAGCTAGGAGGAACTGCGGAAGATATGCGCACGAGGAGGAACTGAGTGGCGTGTGAGACTCGTGATGGAGAGTAGGGCGAGCGATTAAAATGAATCAGCATTTTAATGTTGTGGACCAGTCCGGTCCAGTAGCTGGACTGGAGCAATGTCACACCCGGTTGACTAGTGTGGATTTGGACCACCCCGCGTCAATCCCCCGGGGTTGAGGGAGCTTCGACATCATCCGTCGAAGCTTTCGGTTCCTCGTAGTAGAGAGTGATATTCGTGACATTGAATATTGTTGAAATTTTAGAGTGTTCTGGTAGATAAATTTTGCATGTGTTGTTGTTTAGTTTTTTTAAAATGCGGAAAGGACCAACGGATCGAGGCTTGAGTTTGCTATAAACTTTTCCCGGAAATCATTCTTTTCTTTGGCGGATCCACACGAGGTTGCCTTCTTGGAATGTTACATTTTTCCTGGATTTATTTACTTGAGTTTGATATTTATGGTTTTGCTTAGAAATTGCTGTCCCGCCTTCCTCATGGAGGTGCTGAATTTAGTAAGAATCTTCCATAACATCCTCGTTGATCTCTATTGGGGGTAGAGGTGGGATCAACTCAAGGGATGTGATTGGGTTGCGACAGTACACAATTCCGAATGGCGTGTGTCTTATGTTGTGGCTTGTTAATCTATTGTAGACAAATTTGGCTTGTTTCCCTATGAAGTATCGAAGGAAATTCCCAAGGCTCTTATTAACTACATCGATCTAGCCATTTGTCCAAGGAAGTGTTGCAAAACTAAATTGTAGTTTAGTACCTAATTTGTTCCAGAGTGTCTACCAGAAGTGGCTCAAAAATTTAACGTCTCGATCGGAAGTAATGTCTTGGGAATGTCATGAAGTCGAATGATTTTGTGGAAGTACAAATCAACAATATGAGATGCATCGAACTTTTGGTGGCAGACGAAATGCACCATCTTAGAGAAATGGTCAACTACGACCATGATAGAGTTCTTATCCCTTTGTGTGCGTGGTAGTCCTATGACAAAATCCATACTGACATTGACCCAAGGCGCTTCAGGGATCGATAATGGTGTGTATAATCTAGTATTTTGACCGCATGTTTTGGCGACATAACAAATTTTGCATTGTCGGAAGTGTTGCTCCACATCTCGTGTTAGTCGGGGCAAAAAAAATGCTCTCTCACGAGTGTGAGAGTTTTATCCCGGCCAAGATAGCCAATTAATTCGTTATTGTGGTTCTCTTGGATGATAGCTTCACGTAGTGAGTATCGCGGAACGCACAATTT